GAGACACGGTAAGTCGTTCCATCCGAAATCCCGGAGAATCAAAACATCGACAGTGAATCGAAATCGAATTGTTTGCTCCCGCACTTGAGTCGAAACTTTGGGGGGGAGTGACTAGGGGAGGCGAACCAGCAAGCCTGGCTGTACACTTTCCGGAGTTCAACGCATACGAACGAACAAGGCTCGTCCATGCGGTTGGAGTTGGTGAAGCTCGGTCTCGGAGAGGTCCAGAGGGTCTAGATGGGTCATTCATGTGCTTGGAATTCCGGAACGTGGCCCAATATTTAACAAGGCAGATAAGCCGCTCCAGAGGCTGTTCCGGGCCAAACCGAGACCAGGATACATCCGAGGGCCGAAGATACGACCGTTAGAAACTTAGAAAGCTCAGGGGCCATATTCCGGGCCCCACGCCTGCAGACTGCCGCAGGATCCTTGCGGACCAGAGATGGAAGTCCTACCACACGGGACTACTGGGATTTGCGCTGTTTACTGCGTCGCATACGCGTGCAAGATGAAGGGAGGAGGAAAGAAAAGAATGACACCGCCACTGATGGGTGATGGATTTGGTCGGTCTCACTCTTCCTCTTCGCTTGCAGTGAATGGTCTATCTGATTTATGTTAGGGAGAAAAATTCTGGTTGAAGTGCCTCGGATCATGTTATCCCTTCTCCAGCTCGACCTGTATACCCATCGACGGGGAAACATCTGCGCCGGAATGGCGATGCACGCTAGCGGCTCGCCATTGTTTATCGTATGGAATTTGACGTTTTCTGATATTTAGATTTTCAAGCCAGAACCGGCGGTGACTGGTCCGCAGCTTCACCGCGTAAGTGTAAAATAATATGGCCTCCTACCTGGCCGTTTGAAGCCTGTGAATATTGATTGGGACACATTTTGTATGCAACAACACCAAAAGCGAGACAACTTTGCTTCGCCCCAGCTCCGCCACAATCGCTCGCGAAGCAAAATATTTTTGTACGTCCCTTAATTATTTCTCATCACGGTCTCAACTCAGAGCAGTCACCGTTACTGGAATCACATAGCCACCCCCACAATTCTGCCATTCACAGTCCCGCTCCGCAGCGTAGCCCCCCCCCCCTGGGCCGCATCGGAACGACGACCCGCGCTGCCATCGAGCGTCCGGCAGTAGCGCGCGCGATACCCTACATTCCTCCGTGCGATTCCCCAGCTCCTTGCCCCAAGAGCAGTACAGGCAGCTCGTACCTCCAAAACGACCTAGACGCACGGAAAGTGGACATCTCGCCCGCCGATCCCATCTACCACCGAGAACGTTGTAAGCGACGGCATAGGCGAAAGCAGGGCGTGTCACTAGCAGTCCGAGAAGCACTGTCTGCGCCTGCGTCCGCGCCCGCGCCCCTTCTTCCTCGCCTTGCGGCATCGCAAAGTCCCCCGCGTCCAATCTCCCGCCCACCGCCGAATGCAGGCCACCGCGCCCCGTCGCTTCGCCTCCGACCCACACCGCGCGCAGGTGGAATAGCGCGCGGCCTAACCCCCTACATATCGGATCCGCGCAGTCTGTACCGCGCGTATATCCCCCACCACCCCACGGACGGCCTGCGCGTCGCCCCGCCGCCTGGGGTGGAGGACGTGGCGGGTAGCACGCGTAAGAGAACAGCGCCTCCGTCTGCGTCTTCCTCGCGCCACTTGCAGCACCCAGATACCCTGCGTCTCCGTGGGTGGCATCACGACATTCCTGCCGGCGTCGAGGACATGGACGTGCTCCCACCGGGCGGTAGGTGCATCGGCGTCGCCCGCGCCCCAAATCGTAATCTTGGCATGTACTGCGTTTTCCAGGGCGGAGTCTTTGTGCGCAGGCAACTATCATATACGGCGCGCATCGGACTGGAACAGCTCGTCGAGTGGGTATGGCCCGCCGTGAAATCAGCCACGGCGTCCCCGCGTGCACCCGCCGCCCGCGAGCGGAGTGGGCGTCCGTCTCCGGCTTTTGCGTCTGCGTCCGCGCCTGCTCCCCTCCCCCCTTTCCTCCCCACTACGCGCGACCGCTCGTCCCCCCGCCCCGGGAGTCGGAGCCGTCTTCTGCGGTGGGCGTACTCCAAGCGCTCGGCGTCCTCGCCCCACTTTGAATCCGGGATAGACGGCAGCGTCTACTGCGTGCTGCTCTGCAGCTGCAGCCCCTCCCTCCGTCCTCGCCCTGCCTGGATACCGCGCATCGTACACCCCACGCCCCCCGACGCCCCGGCTCGCGAACTCGCACCCGTCCCCGCCTAGTACCTCCTCCCGCGTCGGCACCGGTAGCACACGGACATGCCCCCCTCACCGACCCGTGGTAGCCCTCCCTCCTCCTCGTACGACGCCCTGAGCACCCGCTCCCCCTCCTCGTACGACGCCGCCACTCCCGCCACCACGACGCCGGAGCGCACGCCCTCCGCCTCCTCAGGAACACCCGGATGGCAGATACGCACGCGCAGCGGGACAGCCAGATACGCATGCACAACGGGAGGTCCATGAACGCATCCACCACGCGACGCTTTGCTGGCGCAGGGCGGATGCAGCCGGGTGCTGGAGTCGGGACAGAGGGCCGCGGGGCCCGTGATAGCGTCGAATCGATGCCCGCCGTATACACGCAAGGGCTCGGGGGTGGGGCACGTATCGCACGCGGAGGCGAAGTCCGGCGTGGCGCGCGCAAGCGCGGATGACGTGGCACTATCGACGCGTGGCGCGTGCTAAGTAGATCTTCCCGCAGCCCGCCCGTCCCCGTCGCACCCCTACAGCGGCATCGCCGAGCGCCGTACTTCGTCGCAGGGGCCGTATGCAGCCCGCGAGAGCGGAACTGGAGCGCATGCGGGGCAGCGTGTCGTGCTCGGAGAATTGAGATGGGGAAGCAGGGAGGTACGGGTGCATCTTGTGGGGGACGTGGGCGTCGCGCATGCCAGTCTGCGCGGCTTGGCCAGTATCAGGAAGGAGAAACGGCTCCCCTCCTGGGGCACGACACCGCATCGGGGCCCTTTCAGACGGGAAGCTGCCAGACAGGAAGCTGTGGGTCGGGCTTCGGAGGCATCAGCGAGGTGGAAGGGCGAGCAGACAGAGTACGTACCTTGCATCTACGGCGAGAGAGGCTGGCGATACAGAGGATCCGGTAGCGGATGGGAGCCGCGCGCGTCTTCAGAGGGCGTGAGTGAGTATTTTTTGCGGAGCGGCTGAGGGTGTACGCACCTTTCCCACACGAGCACCGTGGATTTGGATATCGGGAAATGGGGACAGCCGGACGGACCCACGCAGGACTTGAGTGCGAATAACGCGACGGAGTGGCGATCGGGAGTAAATCTACGCCCATGGCGTCAGCAAGCTGAAAGGAAAGATGCAAAGTAGGCTTACCCGGCGAGAAGTAAGTATACGTAGGTGGGCGCGCGGGAACAGCGAACGACTTGAGCCACCTAGTGGAGGACGAACGGGGCGACATCCACCAGAGAAGGACACGGGGACGTACCTATTCGAATACAAGTCGACCACAGCCGCGCGAGCGTCGCCCAGATTCGATGACGGGAGGCGTCGCTAGTACGGGCGCCCCGCATCCCCGCGCAGAAGATGCAGCCGGGGGCACGGATGGGAAGGCGCGGATGCACCATCACGGCGCGCCTTGGCTGGGGCCGTTCCGGCGGGAGTGTAGCCGTCGACCGCCACGGCGGCGACATGGCTGGGGACCAGGAAGGCGGGCAGGAAGGTCAGGGTGTCGAACGTGAGCTGCGGGCTGGACGTGTATCGGCTCTCCCCAATCTTGGAAGCGACGGGGACAGCGCACGGTGGTAAATGTTCCCGGGTTCAGACGGATGTGTTCAAACGGATGTGTCTGCGTGTCGAGCTGCGAAATGTGGAAATGTGGGCTTGTACTGGTCAAGGAGAACTAAAAGAGAAGAAAGATCAGGGAGGAGGACGGCAGGACAGGGAGCGGCGTACTCAATAGTACATAACGCATGATGAGAAGCAAGCGCCGGACGTCGATGGGTAGATCCCGCATGTTTATGAATTGTGGTGGATTTTGGGTTGCGAGGACGCGAGGATGGACTGGAGCCTAAAGAGATTAGCGACGGTGCGGGTGGGGCAGACAGAGCTGGAGGCACATACCAGCCGATGATGACTGCTGAACGGGGATCCTGAATCGAGAGTAGCTGGAGTTCGCAGGACGGGGATACTGCAGTGATTTTACCCCTAAAGGTTTGACGACAGGGGAGCGTACGTCGCTGTGCATTGGAGTCAGAGGCTGCGAAGAAATCCGCCGATTAACAAGAGCGACGGCGAGTACATGAGTACGTACGCACCTGCAGGGCATCGTGTCCGTTACATCCACGCCAATCGTACTCATCTGTAGCGCAGCTCGACATCATCGGCCATTGTCAAGCGAGACCCTGGCGAGACGCCACCTTCAAGTTTGAGTATCCCGGATCCGTACAAGACCGCGAATTTCATCGCATACATCTAGCACCGGGAAGTCCACTGTGAAGGAGGATACAGATTCGGGGATGTCTTCGAGATACGGACGGTCGCGCGATCGGATGAGCGTAGAGGTGAGAGCTGAGATTCAAGCGGAGTTTCAAACGCGATCACGTGTCGCTTCATGTCGCGTCTCTGGCAGCCTGCGTTCAATTGTGAATCTGAAGTTTTCGCGTACAACACGTCCCATGAATCCCGTATTTTGTATCTCGCTTCCTCCTTCGGAGTGCCCATATCATCGCCAGAACTCCCCCGTTCTTTTTGCTTCACTATTATGTCCGTCAAAAAATAACAGAATTTTGGACACGCTGCCAAGCGCTGCTCTAATCGGATTCAGCAGCGTATTGGGAAGGCCTGGTGGCGGACGGTCCGCACCCACATTCAATAGATGGCCACCCACTCCAAATTTGTCCGTGGGAGACGCTCGTTCAATTCGAGCCCGGGCCGTATTTGGGAGTGAAGCGCTTTTTTACTCTACTACTTCATTTCATCGGAACAATACCCGAAGGTTATGGAGCTCGCAGGTGCACAAAAGGCCCGGTAGTGGATGGTCCGCACCCACATTCAATCGCAGGAGTCAGTCCACATTCGTGTGGGAGGCGCTCGTTCGAATCGAGCCCGGGCCATATATATTATCTCGGTGCACGTCTTGTCCCGCTCTCCACTGTGCGGCCACAGGCATTACCGTTTTGAAAAGAGGCGTTCAAGACGCCGGGCTCGTTCCATCGTGAGGACCACTGCGCGAAAATGCGATATTGATGGAAGTATGTGCACACATCTCTTGCTCTCGAAAATCTACTGTGAGGATCAGCGTCGTGTTGAAGCTGCGATTTGGCGCCAGTTTTCGGTCATTCACGATGTATTCGTATTCCAACGTATGCAGGCTTTCACAGGCAAAGCGGAGCGATGGAGATGGACCGAGAAGTCAGGATTTGCGGGTGAATGGGTTGATTGTCGACACCGCGGCGCTTGGATCGCGCTTTTTCGCGAATTGTCGTCAGTGCGGATCCGAGTTGGACGAGAGTCCGCACCCCCACGTTCCATTTCACGATATCGTGATTTCGTCGGCTCTCTTAATGCCAACGGGTAAAGACTGGGTAGGCATTTCACTTCGCGCCCGAGAAAGGTTAGCGCAATCGCGGCTGCATGTGGTTTCATTATGGTCGACGGGCGTCAGCCACTATTCTTTTCCTCGACTCGCTTAATTCCAACGGGTAAAGCATGGGTAGGCATGCCACTTCGCGCCCGAGAAAGGTTGGCGCAATCGCGGCTGCATGTGGTTTCATTATGGTCGGTAGGAAGGCCCGGTTAGCCGAAACGACGCGACTTGGACGCGCCACCCGCGACGGGAGAATTTCTGGCAGAAATTTAGGGGATAGAACTCCTGGAAAGAATCTAATTCCCTCCGAAATAGTATTTTTCCGGCTCAAAGCTTGGAAATCATCAATGGTCACTGAAAGTGGCTGATTTGACGGAAGTATGGCTTGAGTAACCTTGACATGTTTGATAAATCACTAAAAATCACGAAAGACTGAATCAATTGTATTGAAACATAACTGGGTGATAAAAATTGAGCAGGAAGCCCCAAACACGTCCAGAACGCGTCCCAGAAATCATTTGTTTGTGCAAGCATCGCCAACATTACATAATAAGGGGACCTAACGGTAATCAGACCGCGGTAACTAACAGACTTCAGAACGAGGAACGAGCGAGGGAGTCTGTCAAGAGAGACTATATATAAACTGTTCAAGCACTTTTGGAGCCCGGCTTACGGCTCCGTTCAAGTTCCGTCGCGATGCCAAGGAGGTAGCGGCGAAGATCGGGGTCAAATAACAAATTTTGGTCAGCATGCCAAGTATCGGCGAGATTGAACCGAACTGAAATCAAGCGCTCGGAATTCAAGGGAAGATTATTTAAAGCAACCTAGCGAATTGAGACGTGGATCGGAGTCTGAGAACCGCGACGATGTCAAGTGTGTGGAAATTCAATATCTATCTCTGGTGTCGCGCCGCAATTTTATTTCTGTTCCTTTCAATGTCTCGCCGCCGGCGTCTAAAAAGGCGGAACGCCGGCAATCTACCTATCAACCGAACGGGCCGATCTTCGAAGCGGAGCCCCGACCTTCGCGGCGGCCAAATCCCTCCTCTCCAGCTCTCATGGCTGAACTCATCAGCCTGCTAACCAGCATCCTCTCACTGGTTACCGCCATCCAAACCGCGGGGACCCTACTCCAGGATCTGCATAACGCACCCAAGGAGCAGCAGCGCCTGTTCGCCGAGATTCACTCCCTCCAGCCACTCATCGCTGCCCTGCAGGACCGTGTACGGACCAACCACGATGTTACTGGGATCCAGCAGATTGGGGACCCGCTGTACCGATTCGAGCAGCTGATGAAGGAATGCAGCAGGAAATTACAGGCGGCAGGAGACGGGCGGGTTTCGAAAGCTTCGAAGGCGGTGGCGTGGATGATGTGGAATAAGCAGGAAGCGAAAGAGGATTTGGTTAAGGTCGAGCGCTTCAAGAGTATGGTGAATACGTGGTTGACTGTCGATATTTGGTATGTCTGACCTGCCGTGTATAATCACGAGCCGCACCTATTCAGACTAGGGATATTGGCCAACAACAGAAGGAGGACCACGCCGGTACGTATGATTCAAACGATACTCCTCAGACTGTCTTACCACCTCGTGGTAGAACAACACCGAGAACACGATCGTGACTTCATTTCATCGCTATGCGTCGGCCAGTTCTGATTGTGCTATTCAGGTATTCTTGCGTCTGTGCAGGATGTTGCTCACGCGCAAGAGCGGCAAATTGACGGTAAGCTGAGCCATTCCATGATGCAACTTGACACACAGACTCACCGACACAGCCGCTGAGCGCGAACGAATTATCGAATGGATGTCATCAATCAATTCTTTCAAACGACAAGCAGACATTTTCAGCGCCTGGCAGCCAGGCATCGGAGATTGGCTCCTCGGAAATCCTCAATTCAAGCACTGGGAAGCATCGTCTGGGAAAATTCTCTGGTGTCGCGGTATGCGTACGTCCATCGTCGTATTTTGGCGTCTGTGTGCTTATTTCGGGTGAACAGCCGGCGCTGGGAAGACGGTCCTTGCGTGCGTATTGTATCCGCACAAGCTCTAAATCTTTGAGCACTGAATCAGTTGTAGGTCACTGGTTGTAAACTATCTCGTCACTCAATCACACAACAAGAACATTGGGGTGGCATGTGTGTACTTGAATCACAAGGAAACAGAGTCTCAAACTGTGCAAAATATCCTCGGTGCTCTCTGGAGGCAGCTCATATTCGGGAAGTCTATCCCACCAGCAGTGCAAACCTTATACAAAGACCACAGTGAAAGGCGCACTCGGCCATCTCTAGATCAATTTCACGAAATGCTCTCCTCCGTAATGGCGCAGTATTACAAGGTTTATCTCATTGTTGATGCCTTGGATGAATGCCTGGAGGACGAGCGCAACGACCTTCTTGAAGCTTTGGCCATGCTGGTTCCCGCTGCAAATCTGGTACTCACGTCGCGTCCCCACATTAACCTGGATCCATTCTTGGGCGAGATCCAAATTCTGGAGGTCCGTGCCACGGAAGATGATATCGGACACTATGTCGAAAAGCAGATTTCAAAGTCCCGGAAACTTGCGAAACACATTTACAGCCGTCCAGAATTACAGAAAGAAATCCAGTCCAAGATTATCAGCAATTCGCAGGGGATGTAAGTAATTATTTATGTGGTGTCAATAAACTATTCAAAACATTTGATATTTAGGTTTTTACTTGCAAAACTGCACATTGATTCTCTCACAACCAAAAATACGGTCAAAGCTGTCCGAGAGGCACTTCAGCAATTGCCGAAAGATTTGAACCATACATATGATGAAGCCATCGAAAGAATTGACAACCAGAGCGAGGATGACAGACAACTGGCTCAGCAAGTTTTAACCTGGGTGTCAAATGTTAAACGTCCGCTGTCTGTTGGAGAGATTCGGGAGGCTTTAGCCATTGAGCCAGAGGCTACCACCCTAGATCCCGACAACCTCTTGGACATGGACACTGTGGTATCAGTCTGTGCTGGTCTCATTATGGTTGATGAAAAGTCTTCTGTTGTCCGTTTAATTCATTATACCACCCAAGACTACCTGAACACATTCCAGACTGAGCGATTTTCAAATGCCCACACAGAAATCTTGTCTGGATGCTTAACATATCTGGCCTTCACAGAATTTTCGGCGCTGCCACAAGCCCGTCGTCCGCAGAATGCCTTGGTCGGGAAACACCCATTTCTGAAATACAGCCAACATTGCCTGCTGCATGCTGTGGGAACTCCTGAAAACCAGCTTCAGGAGCGAATCATAGCCTTCCTGAAGCAGGCCTCTCGCTGGCAGCAGTTCTGGAAATCTTGCTTGGGGTATCAGTCTTTAGTAACCCCCTGGCAGTATTCGGGCTGGCATTGGCGTCACTTTGGGACACCACTGTGCATTGCAGCGGCATCGAACTTGAAAATCACAGCCAGCCACATGTTGGGCGGTGAGATGTCCGCACACTGGCATGCGGCTATTAAGAACTCTGCTTTGTGTGCAGCATCGTATGCCGGGCACCTGGAGATGGTGGTGCTGCTCATCGAGCATGGCGCTGCCGTGAACCCACAAGCACGGCCTGGAGCGCGCGCGCCGGGAACTGTACGGTATGGTAACGCGTTACAAGCCGCAGCTGCACAGGGCCAGGCGGATATGGTTCGCCTGCTCATTGGGAAGGGAGCCAATGTGAATGCACAGGGAGGCTATTACGGAACTGCATTACAAGATGCGTCGGCGGCGGGCCATTATGCGGTGGTTCAACTCCTCATCCGCAATGGAGCTGCCGTGGATATGGAGGGTGGCAAATATGGAACGGCACTGCAGGCTGCCGCGGCCAAAAATCACGAAACAATAGTTCAACTCCTCCTGGATAATCATGCCCAGGTCAATAAAGGGGGAGGAACATACGGATCAGCGTTGCAGGCTGCTTCTGCAAATGGAAACCAGCGGCTCGTTGATCTTCTTGTCGAGCATGGTGCAGATCGTAGTGTGTTGTCAGGAATGTCAAAATAGGATTAATTTTTTGCTTAGCGTACTTAGTTCAAATTTTGTAGTTGAAGCATGTATCCATGTATCCAGGATTTCGCAATCTCAAAAGGCATCTCTAACCAATCCGAAGAACACATACCGCTAAAATCATGCAATTCCCCCCAACAATCCGGACACTTTTTTCGGAAGCATATTGGTCCGAAGGCCTTCGATAATTGTATTAATACCGAGGATCCAGAATGGCAGGTTAGAACGCGGATCCTAAGGAAACGACAGAGGTTATAAAAGTAAATATGCCCCGGTAGCGGATGATCAGTCGTTGATGAACCGCCAAGGAGAAAATCTTTACGGAGGTACTCGTTCGAATAGAGCACGGTGTACCATGCGTGGAAATACAGAGTTCATCTTTGCTACGTTGTCACCCACAATATTGCGATGCAAAGCACCCGGGAATTTCTGACAGCCTCTCTCATGATGAAACGCCGACGTTGTAGTAATTGTGTTTAACATTTATTTTTGTACATTGAGTTATTTCCTAGTATCTCGTTAGTGAGGTTCACAGACAATAGGATAAGGCCCGGTAGCGGATGGTTCGCGCCCGTGATTCGTGCCAGTTCACAGGTCGGAAAATTCTACGGGAATAGCTTGTTCAAATCGAGCCCGGGCCATATGTTGTTTCCATAATGAGATTTCTTTTTTTTTGAATCCACGCGAGAGAACTTGAATTTGAAGCCTACTATATCAAGTCCGTAGCAGCGCGCAGAATTTAGACCTCGTTCTACTATTCAAAAGGCCCTCCAGGCACCCCTGGCACCTCCACCTGTACCTGTACCTGTCTCGTACACCGAACCCGTACCCCGACCACTGTACTGTATCAGCAGCATCACATTTACCTCGCACACATCTATGCAGTGCACAAAAGGGAACTTATGTGAAATAAAATAAGCGCAGAACTCGGGATTCAAAAGGTGCTCACCTGGCGTTCATTGGCAGGAGCTCAAGAATATGGGTTTGTGAGGGGAGTGAACTCAGGGTATGTCTTCCTCCTCGACTCCCTCCATTGAGACGGTGCCTAGCGGGAGTTGAGTACATTGGCAAGCTGTGTAGCCCTGCAGGGAGCAGTGAGGCCATGATGAGAAGGAGTAGGAAGGAAGGAATGATGAATTGTGACGCCATTGCAATCGTTGGCAATGGGAATTTTAAATTCGAGATGCATGGACATGGATATCATATCAAACACATGGCTGTCATATCAAAGATATGTGGTGTTTCATGAATATGATGGGACATCCCTAGTCGCTGACCTTATACAGAAATATTGGGGGTGTGACTCTCAGGCAACCACTTGATTACACTAAATGGTCACCCAGAGGCAGCCCCCGTGTTTGCAAAAATCTAGTACTCTGTTTGATTGTAATCAGATGCTTGAAGATCAAGTGTTCATGGCTCGGAACAATCTGCTGCTCGTTTTGTGAGAAAATAGGTACTTACGCAGTACTCTGAAAGGATTCAGTGTGAATTTATTCAGATTTATTCATGGGACCCCCCATGTTTTAAAAACCATTCGAACAAATGGCTCTGATCAGAAGGAATGATGGATTGTGACGCCATTGTGATCGTTGGCAATGGAAAATTTAAATTCGAGACGCATGGATAATAATTAGGCCTGTGGATATCATATCAAACACATGGCTATCATATCAAAGATATATGGTGCTTCATGAATTTGAGGGACGAGCCAGCGCTACCCTGATAGTTATTGAGAGGAATTCCGACCGTAACGCTCGAGTTAGTGAGAAACAAATATACGGGAAGAAGTTCAATAGGTTTATTCCTGGTACATTACATTTACAAAGGCGCTGGGTCCCAGAGTGAAATGGGGAGTGGTGTCGGGATCTGCCAATAATCACATGATGTGATAAACTGAAGGGGAGCAAGGCAGGTTTTCCTAGTACCGACCTAGGTTCCAGGTCTCCAAACATTAAAAGTGATCTACCGGATCTCGTCGAGATCATGACATCACATGACCTGCTTACTCAACACCTCTGCGTCCAAAAACCCTTAAATGCTCCCTGCCAGGTCTCGTCGAATTTATGACATCACGTGGTTGTCTCGCGCGCCTTGCGCCCCCCAGACAAATATTTTCATCCCCCAAATATTCTCATCTATATAAAGACCTATGTCATTTGTAAGTCAAAGTGCTGGCTTGACGCATATAGCATTGGGGGAGGGAAGTTGCTGTTGGTCCACACACAGAGGGGACATTTTGGATCTCGGCCGCAACTGATGATTATGCAATTTGTCGAGTCACATCACCATCAGTTGCGGCCGTTTCGAACATTTGCAATTAATTCCTTTGAATTCGTCGGACTTTAAACACTGAATCTCATCCCTTTGTGCGCGGGCGGAAGCTCGTGTGGTAGTTGATAAACTTAGTCTGCTAATACTTCCTCGATTACGCTGTCTTACACTTTTGTTATATTACTCTTCTAACTACTCTGATCCCATTCGCCGGTGTTCTCGTGCTTATGTTGTACAAAGGGCACTTGCCAGATTTACGGCGTCTGGCTTGTGTGTTACGGGGGTAAATATGGAGGCTGTGGTCTGCGGTGCGGTTTGGTTCGTGCTATGGATTATAAATAGAGGTACCGGTCTGAGGCGCAGTAGGGGATTCGGTCGCGGTCTCGGTACAGGTAGGGATTTGGACTGGGTAGCGGTCGGCTGTAGAGGTACCAGGGGTGCCCGGAGGGCCATGTTGAATGAGTTAAAGGTTTTGGGTGATGGGTCACGGGATATGCCAAAATAGTGTCACATGATGTGATAATCATAAACTGAAGGGCAACGAGGCAGGTTTGAGTTAAGGGTTTTTGGGTGATGGGTCTCGGGATATGCCGACGGGGTGGGAAAAGTCACATGATGTCATGATCTGAAGGGGACCGAGGCAGGTTTGAGTTACAGAAAGTAGACCTAGAACCTAAGACGGTACCAGGAATTTTTTCCAACTTCCACGTGCACATATTAGGGTCATTCACAGTTGCCATTTTTCCACCATTTTTCCTACCATTTTTCGGCCCTTTTTCGTATTCCCATCGCTTTTGACCGGGTTTTTTCCCCTTTTCACTTTAGACATGTAAAAAGGGCTGAAAAGGGGAAAAAAACTGCACCCCAAGTGCAAAGCTTGATCAAAAAGGAGAGCAACAAGTTCAAAAGAGGGAAAAAAGGGTAACTGTGAAACCCCCCTCCCAGCACTCCCTTTTTCTGCCCTTTTTTGCTCCCTTTGGTGCTTCATTTTTCTATTCCTCTTCCAAGCCTTCAGGCTTTTCCTGTCTTAGACTAGTGGTCAATGCCCGTGCCACCAATGGGTTCAATGTCCAATGATTTATATAATTGAAAACTACCATCGACATTTTGGAAAAATGGGAACAAAAAGGGAGCAAAAAATGGCCAGAAAAATGGCAACTGTGAATGAACTTATTGTTGAGAAATTGGTAGGCTCCATGGACCATTTCAGAGGACTTCAATCCTCATTTAATTCCAGAACCTTGCTGGCTTCATTGATTCTAGAACGTTCCTCGCTTCACACGAACCTAAATGCCATGGTAGCCAAGTTACAGAAATACAACCCACCCAAGAAAGGCCCGGTCGCGGACGGTCCGCGCCTGCAAACAGTAGTACTAGTGTGCATCCTCATGGTCGATACTTTCTGCAGGAGACCGGCGCTCGTTCGAGTCGAACCCGGCTGGGCCCTCGGTTCTGTTCCTGGCTTTTTATTTTATTCCCACCTCGTGCTCCAGGCAATCGTCGGCTATAATTTATAAATATGCTACGCACGTCCTGAGGGTACGGTGACTTTTGACATTCACCGCTCTGATCAATGCTCGTAACGGAGAATAAATAAAAAACGTCTAGGAGAACGATGGCCCAGGCTCGAATTGAAAGAGCACCTCCTGCGGGATATGAGTACCCATTCAGGCCATCGAGTGTAGGTGCGGACCATCCGCTACCAGGCCTTGTTCTTGGACCTGAAAACTTAAATGCATAATGATCAATGACGATTGGGATTTGATCATGACTCCGAGTCGACAGGTGGACAAGGTGAGGGAAAACCGTACAATTGATAACCCTCATGAGAATGTTGTTGTACATACAGGCGCAGAACAGAGCCTTGATTCCATGCCTGCGAAGCTTTAATAATCCGATTCACCGGTGGATCTTTGCAGAAAAGGTTTACTACTGGAGAGTGGGGCATACCGGGGCCCATTCGAACGAGCGAATTCCTGCACGACTGCTCACCGAAGATCGAGTGCTACAAACAAAGCGCGAGTGCGGGCCATCCGCTACCGGGCGTTCAGGAATGATATACATGTAAGTGGAAATATATGAGCATCGACTCGGAATTGAGTGGCTAAACCCGGGTTCAAAGCGCACTCACCGTGGATGCTTGCAAAAAAGGTTTTCCAGGGAGCCATGTCGTGCATATTTAGCCCAGGCTCGAATCGAACGTGCGAATTCCCGCACACCTGTTCACCGCCGATCCTTGGCTACAAAGTGTTACATATATCCGAGTCCCAGCCCAGTGGGGCGCACTAAACGAGAGGATCCGCAAGTTCACACGGCATCGACATCGCATGGAAAGTTCTGGGTAGGATGGTAGGATTTCCTTTTTTTTGGACTCGAGGTGATTGAGTACAATTTCAAAATTTTACATACATGGGGGATGGGGGCGAAAGGTAGTGAGTGTACAGTGGAATATGGGACTGGTGATACTGTACAACAAGGGTGGGGATGTTCTACAAAAGGCAGGAATGTTATACAACCTTCTCAGTTCTCTTCTATCCTGAGCCGCACATTTTGGTTTGCTTTGGGCTGTAGGAACATCAGTTGCCGGGTTGCCAGTACGTCCGAAAGCGCGAGTGAGGTGTGGGTCGACGTACGAAGTCTAGCATGTCTAATCATGTGTTGAAGACCGACCCGAGGTTCTCGAAGGTGCGCTGAGGCCGGCTACAAGGAGCACGAGCGCGATGGGGAGGCCGGAAACCGGGGGAGAGATAGCTTTCTCAAGGGGTACCCGCTATTAAAATTTGCCACACAGGGTCGGAAAAGTGCATTAACACCTCGCAGACCCTACCTACCTATTAGCCGAGCCCCATCGGGTAATTTCCCACGCAATTCCTCCCCGAAATGACATTTTTTGGCCACAACGACCCTTATGAGGAGTGAATTTGCAGTGAAGCGGCACCCAAAGTGGAATCCGGCAATGACCGACCTCGTTTTGACATCTTTTTTGAGCTTGCCGACCCCTTCAAAAAACACTAGATTTTTTTCAACCCTTCAAAAAGCATTTTTAGAGCAGTCTGAGCAAATTCCGAAAAGTGAAATCAGGTCTCTCGAAGGGTACCTACCCTATGACCCTGTGTCTCGGGATCTTCCGGCGGGTACCCCTTGAGCTTTCTACTAGAAGGGTGGCGATACTAATCCTACATACGCAAAATATAATTGTGAGTCGGGAGGGAGTATGGAGCGAAATTGAATTATGTAACAGGAAGGAACATACGTAGCGTTGTGGAGGAGGCACTCGATAACATCAGCATCGGCTTGGCTCGGAACCGAGGTCGATTGGACGACGGAATGAACGGCCCCGAGGGCGCTGGTTACACCTATATGCATG